GCAAACAGATTATGGAGGCAATCGACACGTTTCAATGAGACAATCACATAAAACAGTATTTGATTGAAAATTAGAAAAAAATTGACAGGCACAAGTCGATGCATATTTAATCGATTAATCGTTTTCCATAAATGCATATCGGTAATTTAATTATAACATTGAACACATTCCCCAGAGTCACTTCCACTATTGGCCATGTGGCTCCCGTGATAATCGCATTTGCGAGTGTGTTATGAAGAAGGCTATTTCCCAAAACGTCGCCTCTTGTATATATTACAAAATAATGTATTACACTTGGAAATAGGTGAACTCTTCTATGCAATCTTTATTTGAAGCTTTCGTGACTGCAGGAATCCATACTCTTGGGTTATTTCGGTAAAGTCACATTAGGTAAGGGAATAGAGTTACGGTGGGCGTGGTCACGGTGAAGTGGGCGTGGTCGTTTATCCAATACGGTTTGACGTGGCAGGTTAACGAAATGTAGGTGTTATTTAGCACTGATTTATGTTGCCACACCTTGCTGAAAAATTATATGGAAATCAATTGGCCATGTCATATTTCCCCTACTTAAAGAATATCAGCGAAATTAGCAAAAGCGTTTGTAAGACTATGTAACATATTGAGTGCTGTAATTTAAAATATTGTTCGGACAAGTTACATTTGGCTGTAAAATAATAATGCTATTTATTTGATTGCTGTATAGTAACTGTAGTCATTACAGTATTGCAGTTAACTGTAGGTGTCAATTTCAAAGGCAACGTTATCTCCTTAATGTAATTAGTATTTTAATGAAATGTTGAACTTTATTTCATTCAAGTGGCCATAGACTTGGGTCAGTCTCACGAATCAAGTGTGGATATCCATACAAGGGCAAGGTTTTGCAATGAAATAATGAATAAAAACATGGTTTCTAGACAAGCCCGTTTGTCCAAGTGGGCTGGCCAATAAACATAATTAAAGACGATTCATCAGTTAGTCCAACACATCAAGTTGTAAAATATATATAAGTCGTAAAATATGTTTGAACGTGTGGGTTTGTGTTAAGTATATGCTTGACCACCAAAATGACCATGTACTCTTAAATATGATTGACTATACAACCAACAGACACCACGCTAATTTATTATTTTTATTTACAGAATGACATGGCTTACCAAAGGGGCTGGCCAATAAACATAATTTAAGACGATTCATCAGTTAGTCCAACACATCAAGTTGTACGTCGATCAGCCCCAAACGATTACAGGACAAGTGAAATCCATCAAGACGGAGTGAAATAATTAGGCCTCTTCAAGTGGCCATTGCAAATTTATGCACAGGTAGGCTTAACACCTGTCCTGGTTTTCCTCAGGACCGTTCTTTTTTTGTGGGCATTTGTCCTCGGAAATCTCTTTAAGCTTTCCTGGATCATTAAACATTAAAAGCTCAATTTCTTTGTCAGTTGCGTAATAATAATATACCACTCAAAACAACGCTTCTCCACTCTTTCTGTATTTGTGATATGTGATGAACAGTCCCGTTTTTTTATCTCAGAGGTGGCAAATCTATTGTGCAGGGTTAATGTATATTTTTGTAAAAGTGTGCTACTTTTGTGACATATTCATGTCTAAATGACATTCAATCCTCACGCTATGAATCTGATACTGCTTCATGACTTCTCAATAATAAAACTGATGAAGAATGGCGTGGCACCTTTTGGAATCACTCGTAAAGTATTACACAGTTTGTCTTCTTTCGTTTTGCCTTTGACACAGAATCGCGGAACGTTCAATTCTCTTACAAGGGAGACACCTAGTGGCGTTTCACTAGTTGGCAATTTAATTATATAAATGAACCTTATGGCGGGAAACCCGGGGTCCCATAAGCCTCCGGGCACTCGCAAAAACTGCGTTGCGACGTCGTTTTACGCCTGTTGAAGGCGAACGACACGGCTGTCTATATCCTCTCGACGAGCTCTACACGATGCGCTAATCAAAGTTTCAAAGTTGTGTTTCTTCTTGCGTATTCGTCCTCGCCGATGCACTTGGACGAGACACTCCAATTACTGTTGGCGAGGTGGTTAAGGTTATAAATACTCGTGTCAGGGTACTAAGCCAACACCTGACACGAAACGTTGAGGTACTTTGATATTTAATTTGTAAATTATATATTCAGTTTCTATTTCCGATAACTCATTTCAGCTCACTTTCAGTGATTACTAAGTGAAAGGTTTTTTTTAGAGTTATAATTTCATCTCAGGTATATATATTAAAAAAGTGTTAATTTTTCAAACTGGATTAAATGATTCGTTAAATTCATTTCCGTGATATTTGTTCATGAAACAGTGATTTCAGCGTCACGTGGCGATAACTTAATCTTTGACATATGGTGATAAAAAAAAACTAATCCCGTTGAACAGTGAGTTTGACGTTCTTCAACGTCATCATTAAAAATTGCACGAAATGTTTACCCCAACTCATGAACTGGATTGGTTTATAAAGTGACAGGTTATTCAACATATGAACGGGTTTTTTTTTAAATATACATATACTGTCACTGAGAGGAAAATAATGTTTAACCAAATGGCGCTCGTTAGGAAATACGAAGGTTCACAGCCACATTAAATACGCACTACAATGACAAAAGTTTAAAGCGATTTGAAGCATGTTTTATTTTTTTTGGGAGGGGGGGGGGCAGAGCTTCGTGACGTCATATTTGAGGGGGGGGTGTCTGACTCTTTGTGACGCCGTGTGACGAAGGGGGGTCAAAAATCGTCCAAAATCGCGTGACGTCATTTATGGACGGCCCCTAAGCAGCAAACAGGGTGGCCCAAAAGTCAGGACACAGGGTTATTTAAATTAATTTAAAACACTCGAATAAAAAAGGGTTATTGTTTAGTCTTTAAGACACGAGCCTTTTGCCCGTCCAAGGACGGGTGTATTGCGGTAAACCTGAAACTTGCAAGCGAAAAGCAGATCGCGACGTGATATTCACTGCATCAATTCGTGTGCAGTTTGTAAGGGTGCGGTGACACAGACCTATTTCATGTTAATGTTATGATCCCTTGTTCATCACGACGTCCTTTTTACTCTGTCTCAACAGCGTCACGGAGATCACGTGACGTGAGGGTTCTGCCGTTGTAGTGAGGGTTGTGAGTTGACGCCGAGGAGGGGGGAGGAGGCGCCTCGGCCCCCCCCCATGTGGAGTGACGTCAGCCGCTAATTATTATGAATGGGGGGGGGGTGGGTGTCCATTTGGAGGACGTCACCTTATGATTATTAATGAGGGGGGCTGTTCGATGTGGAGTGACGTCACGAGCGTTGCACACAGACATTATTGGCTCATTATAGTAGGTAATAATAATGGGGGGGGGGGGGGGGGGTGTCCATTTGGAGGACGTCACCTGGTCATGAATATTAATGAGGGGGTGTCAATGTGGAGGACGTATAATGTTCATGATTATTAATGAGGGGGGGCTGGTCGATGTGGAGTGACGTGACGAGTGTTAAGGACAGACATTCCTGGGTGATTATAGGAGGTATAATATTCAACCTATCATCATTATTAACATCTTTAATTTCTTCTTCCAAGTGTCGGCAACTCAAAACCCACAATTTACAAAACTCGACCAAGAATCCTGAATGATTCCTGAATGTTCAAAGATTAGACCTGCAATGAAAAAAAGTTCTAAATCCATTTAAAAAAATCATTCATGCATGTGCAATGATAGGGTGACACCTGTCGGCCGGGAGTGGTAATTACGTTCATGGCCGCATTAAATTATGCCTTATTATGAGGGGGGCGTATCTAGGGTAAAGGTGAAGGGCGTGGCCAGAGGTGGATTTTGGCCACGCCGGGGCAGATATTAGTGGGACCGAACCAGAGGTTCCAGAGGTTCGGTGCTGCTGCGGGTCCTGGGTCCTGGCTGCGTCGCTGCTCGTCGTAATCTCTTCGTCTCCGACCACATGGCTGATCTTCTGGAAGACTCTCTCCGTCGCCGTCGCTGCGTTGGTCAAACAGCTCGCGTAGCGAAGCCGGAGATGGCGCTACGTGCTAGGGTCGCCTATGTGTAGCTGCGTTACACAATGCATCGCCCAGTGTGCTCTTAATAAATAAGAAGCCTTCTACTCGACGTGTCTCGGAAGTCGCTCACTACACATGCATCAATGTCAATCAGTTTGAACATGTTTTTAAATAAATTAAATTAACCCTATGCGATTTGTTAAAACACATGTAAGAACCTGATTTGTCCTGAGCTTTAGGCCAACCTGTCATCATCAGCCATGATCAATCCACTGCTTTATGGAGGCTTCCCCTGTGATGTAATAAGACATATAGCACTTGCAAAACGAGATGTTTAAAACTATATGAAATTTTGTTTAATTTTACCAGGTAAGGCCCACTGAGGCATATATAGCTTTTTCAAAAGCGACCTGGTCACAAATGATAGCTCAACGAAGTGGCTCATTGTGCAGAAATGTATAGCAGCCAAATACTCTAAACGCATGTTGATTCAAAATGTGGAGGGAAAAACCTGTAGGACCCGGAGAAAAATCCACGCGACCACAGGAAGAGAGATACGCAAACTCCAAATATCGGCGTAAGGGTCAGGATCGAACCCACGACCTCCTCCATACCAGGCAAGGTAGTTAACATCTCGCCACCGTGGCACATTTCATCACTCTATGTGCTCGATGGATAGTACTCCCAGACGCATCCCATTGCTTGGCTGCCACTCCATCAGTCTTGACCATCAGCCGTCAACCCTACAAGCGACGCCTTTTACCGGAGCCCACTTATCTTTTCAAAGTTTTAACTGCCTTCAACGTGTATATCTTCTGGAAGCCATGTGTTAATCTTTCCGTTTCTCAATGTTATTCAGAGCATGCATTCCTCCGTGCTTTGTGCACTTTTCAGCTTTTGTTAATTTTTTGTTCGTCAATGTCAATGTTTCTGATCAATGTCATAGCAAGGTAAAATCCACCTGTAGTGAGCAACTTCCGAGACACGACTTGTAGAGGGCTCCTTGTTTATTTATCACACTTTACAGGCAGTCACTGAGCGACATATACACTGGGCTACGTAGAGCTGACCCCCTCATACAGCCACATCGCCAGCGTCTAACTATACAGCTGGCTGACTAATACAGCGACGACGATGGGGACCGTACAGCGGATCGGCCACGCGGCCGGGCGATGATGAAGAGATGACGGCGAAGACAGCGACGGCAGCCAGGACCCGAACCGCCACGACAGCCCCGAACCTCCGGTTACCTCCCCCTTTTATACTCCTCAGTGTGGCCAAGCCCCGCCTCTGGCCACGCCCCCCTTCTAGAACTCTCATGCAGGTTCCAGGAGCTTCCCGACTGATCCCTGCCTCTGACCCTTGGCCCAGTTATGCCCCCCCCCCCTTAAGGTTGGCTAAACAATGATAATTAAAAAAGGCTGTTCTTGATTTACCTGGTAGTTTACGTGTATGTTCACTGAAGCAGCAACTTCATGACTTGCTTGGCCTATGATTACTTGCAAGGAAATAAGACAAAGCATCTATCTCCCATTTACTCTTTGCATACTACCTGTTATGATATATGCTTTATGAAACACGGTCAGTCAAGAAACACATCAAACGAAAATGGAAGTGCACAAAGCATGGACAGATACATGATTGAAATAATATGGAGCACGCAGGTTAATAACGTCAAACTGTGAGCAAAATTGGACTTCAGCAGGACACATCATGGCTGGAAGGGAAGATCACCGATCGCCAAGAATTACAACGAAGTCGTAGCCAAGCCTCGAGATTCGTCCGTTGAGGAGATGGAGTAACGAAGACAGGTCATGCGCGAGTGCTGGGTGGATTATTTCATGGCAGCACTGTGTGAGAGAGGTGGTCGCGATTTGGCGGAGGTCTTCATCCAGCAGTGGATCGACAATGGCTGTTGATGATGATGACACATCTCTGGCTACTATGGAAGGACAAAGTCATTCGTGAAGTGGTGATGTTGGATGCCAGAGTTGCTTTCCTGTCAAACCGGGTTTGCTCTTTTTCAGCAGGGAAGCTTTCAGTTATTGACAGCTCATTTAAAAAAAACACACACCCATCCCACAAGCATGACTGGTACTTTTTCACAACTGAAACACGGCCAACCAAAACAATCATTAAATTATCCTAAACGCTTTGTTTTCACAATGGATTTAAACTTCAGTGTTGTATATCGTGGCACGCATAAAGGCATCTTGTATATAATGAGGGGAAATAAAACATTTTGTTGGTTGCTTAAGAACCCATCTACTTCTTAATAATGTACAGCTTTGTGTAATGCCATCTGTAGAGCAGAGCATCTAAATTAACATTTTAGTATGCACATTAAAAGCAAAGAAAAAAATCTAGAATTCACCCACCCCAAGACTAAATATTGTAAATCAAACGTGGAAAAATCAACCATTAGCCTCATATGCCATGGAACAGTTTATTCCAACATGAGATGTACAGAGCTTTGGTAATGCATCTAATTTTGCCCAAGTACAAGTTAATCGAGAAAGATGAACGTCCTGTACGCAGTTCTCACGCTATTGCAGGCAAATGCCCTTTTCTTTTCACAAGATGTCTTACGCCTCCTTTGTTACGCGAGCTAAATTGGGTCTGCAAGCAATGGGGCATACCTAAAAAAATACCCGTCCAACTATAAGCGACTCACCTATCGAGTTAACAACTATCGAGTTAACTGTCGAGTTAACAACTATCAAGTTCCCACCTCTCCGCTGTGTGGGGACAAAGGAAACGTTGAACGGGAAAACTTTTGCAAGGTCTCATCCACCTTGAGTTGGATCATAGAAGCTAGACATGTTGAAATGGACTGGCACTCAACTTGTTTCAGTAGAATTCCAATTATCTGAGCAAATTGGACATTCCTTTTTTTAGATCACTGACTAAAATATACCCAGAGTAGAGAAATCCCCAGGCAATTACTAGTGCTGTGGATTAGAAGGGGCAAAATGACCTGGTTTTTGGAGTGTAAATTTTCCACGTCTAAAAAACTTGATCAAACCACACACAAGCCTTGCTAATCACCTGTACAATGCATAGCCGACACAGGGAATTTGCAAACTTTGGACTGGTTCTCAATGCCTCCGTAAAAAAAGGCCCTCTATCCATGTACAGCATGTTGCTGGGTGTACGTTACCAGCATCGCGTTGTGCCAAAATGCTTTATGTGTCACCAGACCTTAACCAGATCAATCTTAACACCCCTGGTGGAAATACATCTCGGGGAGTGCTAGCAACAGCAGTTTAGGAGCAGCTTCATTACATTCTCCTTAACACTTCTTTCGGTGGGGTTGGACTCATTATTTATTTCCGTTGACACAAAATGTGGTCAGAATTTGGGAACCCAAAAGCATCTGGAATTTAAAAGCAATTGCGAGTCTGAAAAATCGTCAGTTAATTTAGCAAGAGCTCTCAGTTGTGTGTGTTGTGTTCAGTGCACTGGGAGATTTGAGCATACACACAGAAAACTGATCGTTATTTAATTTACAGAACTCGTAGTTGTTATTTTACTTTAGGATTTGTCAAGATGGCAGGAGACAACGTTATAGTCTTGCAGATAAGAACGTGGGCATTCACGTGACAGCAGACAACGCGATTTTGTTAACGCAACCATGCAAGTCCGAGTGGGGGCACCGTTTGAACCGTAAAACTCAAGTAAACTGGCCGAGCGGTCTCTGGCTGAGTGGTCAGCATTGCTGACCACTCAGCATTGCTGACCACTCGATTATACGGCTGCATTTAGGACAGCGATCCATCTTGCCGGTTGCGAGGCTGCAAGCTGGCAAGGAATGCAAATGAGAGCGTGTGCAAGACATTTGGGGCGTGATCAATGTTGCAGTACAGGAGCACATATGGACCGTGCGAGCAACAATATAACATAGTTTTTTAATTCAAAATTTGGAACGATGTACGTGCTTTAAGAGTCACACTGTTTAAAAAAAAACAAGTTTTTTTTACTCACATGTTGTCACGCCACGACTGATTAACATTCCGGTAACATGAAAAAGCGGCCAACTCACTCGCTAAAAATAAACTGTTGATTGGAAATTGTTGCATGCCACGGATGGCAAACAGTGGCCAGATGCAGTCCTTTTCCCAAAACATTCCCGAAATAAGCCAAGTAATAATAAAAAACAAATGGCAGTGTAGCGCATTATCAAGTATTTACACATATATGCCATGTAAAAAAATGCATTCATGTTTAAAATTCCAACAACTCTGAGATATATCTTTTTTACGGGAATGTTAAGCACGTGGGCTGATGTTAACTGAAATGAAGTTTAAACCGTGCTGTCAATAAAATGTCAATCGTCAGTTTATTTCTCATATGCATGAATATATATGCATTACAGTCATATCAAAATGTACGTGGACTGCATACAGTATATATAAGAGAGCATTAACTCATCAACAGTTACATTTTCGGCTACATTGCATTACGAGGGAATAATAAAGGAAGTTTTGCCCAAATATGAACCCTGCCAAAAATAAATAATCGTTGTTTATACGTCTTGCTTACAATTAGGCCGACACATTTAAACCCCAAGTTAACCTTTAAAAAAGTGAAAGTTGCTCAGTTAAAGAATGCAAATATGCACGTATTCTGTTCGTATGAAAATAATCAAGACGGTGACAAAGACATGTTGGAACAGGGCACATAACGGCCTGCTTGACAAGAGCTGCGTCGGTATTTCACGGGGCAACTAAATGTCGAGGGATTTATTATTTTGTTTCCTTTATAAACTCCCCCTACACCCTACCTTATAACTATTGGTTGTGGTCACTTTTTTTAGAAATGGAATTTCGCATTAAATGTTAACCCTTGACATCAGTGACTTCACCAACACTCAGGGAGGGAGGTTAAATCATGCCTTTGACCAACATAACCTTATTACTGCACGTATGCCACATTCAAATGCGAGGGCAGTGAAAATGAATGTAACGAAAAATGTAAGAAGCTCTACATTTTGCAAACAATTACCCAGGTTGTGTTCAATGAGTTCAAAGCTCCATTAACAAAGTTAAATCAGGAGCAATCAAGAGATATCGCCGAACGCAACATTGTACTAAGAACGTCCAGAAGCAACATCAACAATGTGTCCCTGACAAGAACAATAAAATAATTTTAATTACACTTCAAAACTTGCTTTGGACATTCTGTCACACAAAGCCGAGGTATGCAGCCACAAGAGTGATTTTTATTTGAGATTTTAATTCAAGTGACCATCTGTTTTTGAATGTTCATTATATATACCAATTTGAATTGTACTGCATTGAACACTTACATCGTGCCTGATTAAGTGGGAATGGCACATACGATGCTGATACTCGATCACTGTACAATTCCTACCACGGACAACGAACGCAACTCAAGCCAATTAAGGCATAAAAAGTTGCGGCTGTATAATCCTCGCATTAAACAATCAAAAATCAAACCCACAAATGAATCTCCGAGCGTCCAGTATAACCACGCGAGCAGGAGAGTACTGTAAATTGTTTCATTTCACAAAGCCAGGTTATTATGTCAACGCAGGGCGCGTTAACGCACCTATGTACAGAGACGAAAAAACTCCCAACGCGCTGTCGCTGAACAATCCCTTCAGATCGCCGCTCGCAAAAAAACTCCCACTGTCGGGCGACTGTCGAACGAGGCGGCGACCCAACAGACGACAGTGCAACACCCGGCAGCGTCGTCCTCAGCGGTGCTTGCCGTAGCGGTTGAAGCGCTTGTACAGGAAGCGAATGCGCTTCTTCAGGTTGTGCCTATCCTCCTCGAACATGCGGCTGCCGACCCATCTCATCCGGCGGATGCAGCGCTGCAGCTCGTTGCCCCTCCAGCCGCGCAGCCACGCGGGTCCGCTGATCAGCTCCTTCGGGTGCATCTTGAAGTCTCCTGCGAGCGCACGCGGTAGGCAGGCACGCACGCACACCGCGTCAATCCCCGCGACGTCACAGCGGGCGCCACCAGTCTCGAACGGCACGAGCGAGGGGTAGCGGCGAGGTCAAACGCACCGCGTGGGGCAAGGCCCGCGCCGGGAGTGGGAAGTCCGTGGTGGTAAAGGAGAGCACGACGACAATGGCAGCAGGCTATGAAGGAGAAGCTGAAGGGCGGTTTCATTGTGGGTTTTTTTGGTTATTATACACCGCAACTATACCCGACAACCCCTTTGTCAATCCACTGCTGGATGAAGGTTTCCACCTTGCTGTCTTGGTCATGGGGGGGGGGTTGACCTTACTTCACCACGCTGGTCAGTGTGGGTGGTAAAGGTTGGGGGTGGCGCCCCATGATTGGTTCAGAGTCCGCTAAATACCGTGCGCCACTTCTCCCACTGCACACTCTAATTAGGCGATTACTTATTAATGTGCAGCATTGAGGTGCATTCACCAATTCAGCAGAGCCATACGTAATGTTGATGAATACGTCAAGACAATTTAATTTCCCTTCACCATATACTGTATCCATTCTATGTGTCTACCTTACAAGGAACAACAATGTTTTACTCCTCTGCAGATGGAAGGCTGGTGTGTTTATACCCAATTAAGCCTTCAAGAGTTGAGCTGGAGTTAATTGAGTGTTGTAATGCAGTTGTCAGCGAGGAGCCTCACATCATCAGGCTGGTAAACCAGAGAGACCTGCCTTATACCCACCGGGCACCCAGGACTCAAAACACAGCTGTTGGCTTAATGTTCCTTCACAAGTATCATCCCCTGAACTTAAGCCTATCAGCCACAGGCAGTAAGGTTAAAAAAAAAGATTTCATGTTTCTATACACGGCATCAGTACAATCACTCTGACGGCTCGAAAGTCCTGTCCCACTAGTCTCTACACATTTCTTCCTTGAGAAGCGACCCTGCAAGTGAAAGCTATACTGCACAACACTTGCTATAAATCAGCAATAATGACACGACAGATAAAAGCCCTGTGGTAATAGCCACTGCGAGCAGTTAGCTTCTGTCCTCTGGCCTCAATATAAGGTTGGCTTGGCTCGTCGTCCGAGTCACCTGCGTCGTAACAGCGCACAGTAATCATTTGTGTAACAAGTGATGGGTGCGAGCAACCAATTAAAACACCACCACCACATAAAATAGGTGGACGTCAGTGGATACGCTAAATGCATCCAGCATCATTGCTATAAGATGCTGGATACAAAATAAACATCACTCATTGATTTTGATTTAAAGCTTTCGTGACTGCAGGGATTCATATTCTTGGTTCTTTCGGTAAAGTCACGTAGAAGGGAAACAATAAAATAATAAAAATATAAAATAATAAAATTCTCACGACGTTTCGACTGCAACACAAGCAATCATCATCAGGTGTAAAAACCACAGCAAAACTTTTTCCAAATTTTCTTGCTGTGGTTTTCACACCTGATGATGATTGCTTGTATTGCAGTCGAAACGTCGTGAGAATTGTATTGTTTTCTATTTTTATTGTTTCCCGTCTAGGTGACACTACCGAAAGAACCAAGAATATCACTCATTGATGTTTGTTTTAACCTGAGAGATAACGATATAACGGCAAGTGTACTCTATTTTATAAGCGTATGGATATCTGCCGGAGTGGTCCCGTGATGGATACTCGACACGCAATAAGATCATGATTTCAAACGCCAATCACGTCCGACTCGGCAAATAACCTCAGTAGGGTCATTCAAACTTTTACCATTTTCTCGGAATTTCACCGTTGTTGTTTTTCCCCGGAGAGGCTGGTCCTCCACAATTCGAATGCAGAATTTCTATGTCGGCCTCAAGAGCTGCCAATAGGTCTGAGCTCCACTCCAAGCTTGTTTTAGCACGACTTTGACTTTGGCAACGGACCGTGCCGCTAGGGATATGCCCGTTTGCCAGGAGCTACGTGCACCAACACTTTGGTTCCAAATGAAATCTGGCTCTGCACAAGTGGCATCCGCCATCCAACTTCTAAAACTGCTTGCTATGGCCCTTCATGAGCACACTTACCGAGGATGCCAACGTTGTCATAGATGCCGAACAACGCCCGCTTCTCAGTCCACCGATCGACCTTCTGTGGCACCGGTGAATAATGCGACTTAACCAAGCTTGTTGCTCCTGCGGGAGACGGCACACGAGCAGACTTTACTATGCGACAAAATCAAATAGGTCTTCCAATGCTTTCAAAGGCACACTCTAAAGCGAGCCATCAGTTAATGTCCTAATCAACGTCAAAGGCAAGTGAAAAATACCGAGAGAAAAGTCCCTAAGGTGCTGAGTGAAGGCAGACGGTCTCCATATCCCAAGCAGGAGTCTACCAAACGTTTGCTTGACCAAAGCCATTCTTCAGCACCCGGCTTTGGCTGCAAGAAAGGAACATCCATTATTAAAAATGTCAGTGTGTTACAGTGACATGTATTGATTTTTGTGTATGTCAAGCTGTCAGCCGTGCAGTGCCCATTTTACACAATGCACTGAGGCTTGAATGCACCTCAAGGCCATCATAAAATGCAAAAACTCAAAGCCTATAGGAATTCTTTCATGAACCCAAAGCGCAGTGGCCGACCGGTTAGCGATCTTGCTTTTGGGTGAAAGATTTCCAGTTCAAATCCACCCATGTCCACTTCTCCAGCAACGCACTATCATGTGTGCGCCTTAAGGTAATTTGTGTGAGCCTTAAGGTAATTTGTGTGAACGTAAAACATCCCCGAGACTTTGTGTTCAAGAATAATCAATTGTATATGCCTCTTATATTTTTATTTCACATGTAATGTACCAGAAGGAGATTGCTTTTTCTTGAATGTTTTGGTTCTGAAAGAGAGAGGGACAAGTCTTGCCAAAGTGCTACAAAGAAGGTTTGGCATATGGTCAATTTAGAATCAGAATCTTTATTTAGACTGCAGGAGGAATCCGATGAGCTATGAAGCTCTTTTTCACAGATGTCCAGTATGGGCGAGTCAGCAGAATGAAATACAAAACCAGGTATCAGGTATTCAACCTCGAATACAGTGTACATGTACATTATTTGTGCGAGGATGCAGTCATATGGAGACTCTCACAAGAAAAAAAAGTGGAATTTCTCACGTGACTCTGGGCCACCAATGGAGGTGTGTACCGCCCCCATACTGATTTGAGCAGTGAGACACTATGCAAATTATATGCGGTATTATAATATAATCTAATAATCACATGCATTGATTACTAGTCCAGGGGTCATCACTCTCCGTTGACCCACTGTACATCTAATGCTGGAACGGCCTCTCATCCACCTATAATGTCAATGAACGTGTCTTAAGACAACATATTATACACATTGCAAAAAGCAAGCCATTATATTTTTATAGGAAAGCCCAGGGATCAGCAAGCAAAATAATAGGAGGAATTTTGTTCGAATTCGGTGAATACGAGATTGTCTCCAACAAAACGCCACGAAGCAGTCCTCAAAGAGCTGCATGTGGCTTTGGAGCCGCAGGTTGCCAACGCCTGGTATGGCCAAAACGAAAAAAGGTAAAATCACCTTCAAGGAAATTGCTAAAATATTAATAATTTACCATAGAGTAGAACAGTCACAACAGCGCCTTCTTGCAATTGGGACTCTTAATGGGTGTTCGGATGGGCAGCTGTTGGTCGTGAGTTCACTTGGAGGATTGTTTGCGCACTGAAACTTGATTTACTTGAGTAGCTGTCAACTTTAGATTTTGTAAAACTTTGTTCTTGTATAAATCATATTAATTTTATAGATAAATGTTTTGATTTTCATGGTTGGTGTTTGCACGATTGTGACGGTTCACCAATCTTGGCTTACAATCCCAATTTCTCCTTTGCAAAAAAAAGGCCTTGCCTCAATGGGCCACCGTCTGCTGATATTATAAATCATTATGACCAGGGCTTAATTTCTAAACCAATATTTCCCAGATCACTCGTAAGGCTGGAGTAAGTTGCACACTGTGTTGCGATCGAAACGTCGTGGGCTTTTTGCTTTTATTATATTTTTTAGTAAATTTAATTTTATCGATATTTTTATTTTATATCTACGTGACTTTACCAAAAAAAAAAACAAGAATATAGGTTGCACATGTCTAGTACCTACAGACATAGCGATATGCATACTTGATGTGGTGTGCCAGGTGGGGGAAATATTTTCCAGGTCATCGACCTGTTACAAACATGCCTGAATTAAAGCCCCACTTATCATTATAAAGACACGTTGGCAATCAGCTAAATACAATGGGATATTTTTGCCAGTATCAAAGTATGAAAAATGAGAATAGGTTTGAAACGTTCTGGCATGATATATCCCATGCTATAGCGGCTCACCACAGAGCTATAAATACTATGATACGTGCATTGTCTTCGTACTGTTCGTCTTTTGACGCTCTCTGGTCTGACACTGGTGAAACTAGGCCATAAAGAACAAGGCTATCTCTGGTATATGCTAATCAGTTTAAAAAACAATGTATATATTATCAGAGCATATTTGTTTTGCATGTTCACAAGTACCGTGTGTGGTTAATGCAGACTTGATTCCTTGCAAAAGGTATAATCTATTTGGTGTTTGAACATCTTAACGCCTGATTTAAAGCTTTCGTGACTGCAGGGATTCACATTCTTGGTTCTTTCGGTAAAGTCACGTAAATAATATTTTTATTATTTTATTGTTTCCCTTCTACGTGACTTTACCGAAAGAACCAAGAATATCTTAACGCCTGTTTGATTGCCTGTTATTCTTTCATAGCTAAATACTACTCAGTTAAAATTCATATTGATTTCTGCTAAAACCATTTAACATGCAGTTTTTCTTTCACGTTTAAAGCATAAAGAGTAATGGACTCAATCCGAGGTGGATCGGTGGTGCAGTGGGTTAGCCGACTGCACTATGAACCAGGTAACCCGAGTTGGATTCCTGGCTAGGGCTAACATAGGCGGCGAGTGATAGCTGAACCTGCGGCTTACCCCAGCCCTCCCCTACCCCAGCCTTCCCCTACTCCAGGGGTGGGGAACCTTTTTTTCTGCCAAGGGCCATTTGGATATTTATATAACATCATTCGCGGGCCATACAAAATTAACAACTTAAAAATTAACCTGTTATATTTGGTTAAACATTTAATTAACTCGCCCCTAATGCGATGGGCTGGAACTGCCTCTCTTTGGCGAGGCGTGGTGATGATGTTAGCTGGTATTGACGATGTTGCTGCTACTCGCAACTGCTTTTCCAGGTGTGCTCCTAGATTTATTGAATTTCGAGTCCCGCCTGCGGTTGCCTTGGCAGGGCCAGAGACCCAAATGATTCCGCGGTGCCTCATACGGCCCGCGGGCCGGAAGCTTCTCCACCCCTGGGCCTACTCGCACCGCGGTGAAGTATGGTCAAACGAGTACTGTACGACCAAAACAACGCACCGCCACCAAAACATGGACTTGGCACAAACGCTATTATTGCGGAATAATGTCAACAATTTTAAACTATGTTCGGCATCACCGTTGGCGTTGCTCAAACCACTGCTTGACGAATGACTCCCTGAGCCGGACGAGTACACGGGACGCGGGGTACACAGCGGTGCTTCCTCGTTACTACGTCTGTGTACATCTTTAATAGAACACTCATTTAAAAACAACAGGCGCGTTCCAACAGCAGCGCGGACACATTCGACCTTGAGTCATTTGCAAGCGCACGCTGCTTTGGGCCTAAGCAACCGCCTCGCCTAGAACACACACACAAAAACACACACACGCAACGCAACGCCACACAAGTCCTCCTTAATCTTTTTAGACGGGACGCGGTCTCTCCGCTGCCGGGGGAACTCTAAAGCAAGCAAGCAAGCAAAAGGCGGCGCACCCTTGACGAGTTTACGAGTTTACGAGGCGAAGAGTTTGAAGGCACCACCGCCCGTGACTGTACCTCTCAAGAGCCGCACGCGCGCACTTCGCCCCGCCCCCCCGGTGACCCGGTGACGTCACACTGTGGGCGGGTCGTAATCGGAACTTCAAGCAAGAGCCGAGCGCTGATGACGGACGCTTGGGCTGCAACCCGAAACGTCGTGATTTATTTGATTTTATTTTTGCACCTACGTGACTTTACCGAAAGAACCAAAGAGTATGGATTCCTGCAGTCACGAAAGCTTCAAATCAAGATTGAAGTGGCACTTATCTATACTATAAATACAACTTTTTATTTTTGTATTTTTAACAGGTAGCACGGCCCACTGAGCTGTGTATAGCTCTTTTATTTTAAGACGAAGCGACATGGTCACAAGGAACTGACTTATCGTGATGTGGATATGTATAGTAGCCAAATGCTCGAAACGCGTGATGTTGCTTCTGAATGTGGAGGGAAAAACGGAGGACCCGGAGGAACAAAAAATCCACGCCACCACGGGAAGAGAGAGAGACACGCAAACTCCAAATATACAGCAGCAGCAGCAGGCATCGGGGTCGCGAATTGATCCCACGATCTCCTGCACACCAGGCGAGGGAGTTAACATCCCCTAGCCACCGTGATGATGATGATGAGAGAGAGACACGCAAACTCCAAATATACAGCAGCAGGCATCAGGGTTGCCGATCGATCCCACGATCTCCTGCACACCAGGCGAGGGAGTTAACATCTCCTAGCCACCGTGATGATGATGATGATGAGAGAGAGGGAGACACGCAAACTCCAAATATGCAGCAGCAGGCATCAGGGTCGCGGATTGATCCCACGACCTCCTGTACACCAGGCGAGGGAGTTAACATCCCCTAGCCACCGTGATGATGATGATGAGAGATAGAGACACGCAAACTCCAAATATACAGCAGCAGGCGTCAGGGTCGCGGATCAATCCCACGATCTCCTGCATACCAGGCGAGGGAGTTAACATTTCCTACCCACCGTGATGATGATGATGAGAGAGAGAGACACGCAAACTCCAAATATACAGCAGCAGGCGACTGGGTCGGGATGGAACTCACGACCTCCTGTATATCAGGCGAGGTAGTTAACATCTCCTAGCCACCGTGATGATGATGATGATGAGAGAGAGACACGAAAACTCCAAATATACAGCAGGCATCAGGGTCGCGGATTGATCCCACGATCTCCTGCATACCAGGCGAGGGAGTTAACATCTCCTAGCCACCACGGCATCCATCTGACAGTTCACAAGCATTGGTTTAATCTAGCTTGACTCCTGATAAGACACTGCATGTACGTGCGATGTTGAACTTCTTTCCCACCGTACGTAGCCAACCTTGCTAATTCGAGGTGCGGGGGAAGGGCAACAAACTAAACACAAAAACACAGTTATTAAGAAATGAGTTTGCAATCCAAGTTTAACAGTGAACAGCTCCCCCAGTGTCGTCCTAATATCGACATTGGGACAACTGGTCGACCCTCATCCTCAGCGAGGCTTTCCTGGGTAAACATTCACAATAAAAAAAATGATATTTAAATGTGCCATCAGCGCCACCAAAAAAAAATAAAACCCCAACATATCTCGAGATAAAGAGATGCTCCCCCATGTTTTTACCCATATGGTCAACGGACAAAATAATGAGAATAGGTTTTCCCCTTTTTTCTGGCAACAAAACAGGTGTTAAGATGTTACAACACCAAACTGAAACCTTTTACAAGGAATCATGTCTGCATTAACCACAATACTTGTGGTCAGAATGCAAACCAAAAACATACTCTGATAATATTTGCATTACTCTTTGAAGCTGTTGGTCCACACAGCTTTCTTTAGAGCCTAGTCCAGGGGTGGCAAATTTTTTGACTAGCGGGCCACAATGGGATCTAAAATTTGACAGAGGGGCCAGGCCAGGAATAGATGGATGGAGTGTTTGTGTGAACTAATATAAATGACATGTAAAAATCATTACATGAAAGGAGTTGGCCTTGAACAGGTAGCAAAGCATTTATTTGCAAGGCAATTTAACAAATTGCACGAACATGAACAATAGAAAAACATGTCATAACTTCTGGTCAAAGTGCGCCATCTAATGGGGAAATAGGGGCATTACAGGAGAAAGGTAAATTTAATTTAATAATAATATTTGGACAAGTTCAGCGGGCCGGATTAAAAAGCCCAACGGGCCGTATACGGCCCGGGGGCCGTACTTTGCCCATGTCTGGCCTAGTCTCAAACGGTGTTCGACCAGAGGACGCCAAAAAGGGGTACACAGCGCAAAGACAATGCCACTATATTCTTAGAGTAATGAGGGCTCGGGGTGAGCAACTACATCATGGAATCTCCTTTGCCAGTATTTTAAATTGATTTTCTGTATCGACACAAGCACTGCTTCCCCCCTATGTTCCGTTTGGAATTGATAAAAAGCTACCATACTGCCTCTACTTGATTACCGTGACATCGTGTATAAATCAGCCCCCAGTACTGTACTGAAGAAGCTTGACTCAATGTATCACTCGGCCTTAAGATTTGCATTGAACTGCCCATATAGGACTCACCACTGTGATCTCTACATTTGGTCAAACTTAACATCTCTTAATGTTCGACGGATTGTGCACCAGATGTTTTTTATTCACGATGTACTTACAAAAAAATCCGCAGACTACCTGCTGGATCTCCTCTCTGTTTCGAAGAACAAATGCGACCTAAGGTCTTCGCTCATTTACCAGCTTCACATGCCTTATTGCCGTACAAATACTGGAGGAAGGGCCTTTGCTATTGATGCCCCCAGGGTCTGGAATGCTATTGCCAATAAACTGCAACTTGAATCACTACCTATGAGATCTTCACTCAAAACTGCTCTAGAGGAGTTGTACACCCCTAGCTGCCACTGCTATTCAGTGGCCTAAAATCAAATGTTTCGCTCCGGATGACCGCTGCAAAGTATGATCTTGTGTTTTGATTTAGTGTGCTGATCTTTAAAGGTGCATTGACATTTTTTGATACTCCGCCTGATGCTCCTGCTGTTGTGGAGTGACTCATGCAGCCAGCTATGGCTACAAGGTTTGGTGGTACATGTTGTTTATGTCGTTTACTGTGAAATTTCGGTCACAGTTCCTATGATCCCTGTTACATTGCTTTTATGGCTTCATTTAGGTGATTTCGAAAAGTTTTTTGGTTTGACCATGTTTGTTTGTTTTTAGTACAGAGTTTGACTGATGGCTTTAATCTAAGTTGTCTTGTGGTTGTTGTTTGACTTGCATCCCACTGGGATTTTTGCACACAGCGTTGGTGTACGGTGCTTTTTCTGGAAGATTTTGCTGTTTTTTCCTGATTTTTCTGTTTGCGCGTAGTCACTTTAAGATGTTTTCTTGTTCATGTTTTTGTTTTTTGTTTGTTGCGGCTGCACCCGATTCAAGAGCGGAATGGCTCACAGGGCTATACCAAATAAATTAAACTGAAACTGTAAAAAAATATGAGAATAGGTTAATTTCCCCTTTTTTCTGGCAACAAAACAGATGTTAAGATGTTAAAACACCAAACTGAAACCTTTTACAAAGAATCGTGTCTGCATTAACCACAATACTTGTGGTCAGAATGCAAACAAAATCAGTTTCAAGGACAATGCATCATATATTATCAGAGTACGCCTTTTTTTTACATTCTGACCACAAGTATTGCGGTTAATGCAGACATGATTCCTTGTAAAAGGTTTCAGTTTCGTGTTTTAACATCTTAACACGGCTGTTTCGTTGCCATAAAAAAGGATAAATTAACCTATTCTCATGCGTTGGTACTGGCAAAGGAGGCCCCCATTGATGTCGTTGGATAAAACGTCAACGTTTAATCTTCGGCGGGGCTCGCTCGCTCGCTCGCTCTCTCGGTTGCTAGAACTCCGATTACGACACCGCGGCGTCACCGCCTCGCGCCACACACGTGCCCGGAAGTAGCCGCGAGAGCGACGCACGTGTCATCATCATCATCATCAGCTGCTGCCGCCGCTGCCGCTGTACGAGTGTGGTTATCAAAGTGCACCTAGCCTGGCACACAGGCGAACGGCGGGTGCTGGGGGTTGCCGCTCTTACACGTGGGTGAGCCGGTGGCGTTTGCGGTTCGCGCGCCGCGCTACGAAACCTGGCGAACCCGGGGTTCCGAGTCCCGCTCACGGCCACAACGACCGGTGCCGATTACGTGAACCGGACCTGGGTCTCCTCCCCTAGGTCGACTCGGCCTCAAATGAGTACCTGGAGCGGCGTGTAAAACATCGCCACTGGGGAGACAAAGGCGGCCGGGCGTGGTGCTGGCCACCCAGCCTCTCGTGTGCCACGGTGCCGGTAGCCTTCGTAGGTGCTTTGGTGCAAGTAAAGATGTGGCCACGACTTGAGCAAAAATTGGTGGCACAAGACAGGAGGAGGAAAGTGGAAACAAAGGACGGAACGTGCAGTGGACACCTACGGGCTATCAGCCCATGGATCGTGATGATGTTTGCGAAGCGATATTCTCAGTGTTCACGCAAAAAAAGTTGCTGATTTTACTCTCGAGTCATCTGAAGCGGTTATGGGTACCGTCTTCATGACTTGCACCGCAGTTTGAGCCTAAATATGTCTCGGCTTTTGCACGTATACGTGTAGCAACATTAAACATTTAAATTAATATTTGGACGCGATTATTGGCTTTGCTGTGTCGCGTGTTCTTGTTTGCATGTTGGTACTGTTGGAGTATTTGCGCCTGATTGGATTGGTAATTGTTGCAGTTTGCTTTGGTTACTACAATTTCCTGCAAAGTGTCATGCGTTTTTCCAAGTTGTTGCTTTCTTTCAGTAGACAACGTTTTTTTAAAATGCCAATTGAAATTCATTTATTGATTCAGTGTTCAATAATTTCGTGATAACTAATACATATATGTGTTTGGGGCCACTGACATATCCACAGCGGTTCTTGTAATTGACATGCCTCCTAGCAATGCACGCCTTGTGGTTTAAACATGCGGTGTCACGTGCCGGCTCTGGAAATACATATTTTATGTCGTGTGCATCAACTTAACGATTGAAATGACACAGTCTCTCACATGCAAGTGTATGTGCAAAGGAAATGCGTTGTCACAGTCCATATAGG